CTCTCAGCTTGACGACTTATAGCCGTAGCCTTACAGCACTGACGCTTTCAACTTGGTGAGCCATAACGGACAGTGCACTAGGCCGGAAATAGTGAGATGCGTGTTCGACTCTCGTCTGCGGTTCAACTTTTGTCCACAACTGAGCATTCTTGGGATAAATTTTGGAGCGCGAACTGCGGCATAAAGAGCAGTTGTCATCGGAAAACAACTGAGGAGAGCGTTGTTTCTGCCCCTCCCTCTATCACACCCAGTCATTTTCTTTTCATTTTTCGACTCATTTTCAGAGTCGTGGTATACCGCCTAACCCGCACACCATCCTTACGAAATCACATTTATTTTTATTATGCCACTCTATTTTCAGAGTCGTGATATGCCGCCGAACGCACACGTCATCTAAGGAATTCATATTTTCTCTCAGTAATAATAAAATTATTGCATACTTGCCGTAACACCACTTCAGGAGCCGTTGGTAAGAATTTTGGTGGGAAATATGCGTCGGAGAACGAGCACTCATGGATAACAACAATAAGCATTGGAGGTTAAGCGTAGTTTTGTCAGTGATATTCCGTGACCATTTTTTATAGAAAGCACTTCAGGACTCTATCCGCTACGCTGTACTGGAACACTGATCTCTCCTCGTCATGTTCTGACAGCCGCCCACTGTGTTGTGGGAAAGAACATAACGGCTTCAGAGCACGTCTACTACCAGAGAAGGTTCTATCTTAATTAGCAACACGAACTACGCTTAGAATCTCGTTTCTTTCTAAAATTGTCCTTAAGCGAGCCAACTGAAAATTGGTGTATGATTGGTGTTAGTGATTGTGCTTATCGTGAAAAGTGCCCGGACAAGTGGACGAAGGCAGTGAAAGTATGTTGAACAGTACGCCCCGATGAACTCTGCAAAACATATACTACATCCTGGCGGCGCGATGGGCGTGGTTGCGTACTGCCCTTGGACACGGCGTAGGCTGCATTTTTCATTAGATGTTTTTGCGCATGACAACTGCCGATCTTAGGCGCATATGATTACAGCTCATTACAGCTCAAATAGATTTTTGAAAGTACCTCACAATGATTCAGTTGCCTTTCTCGGCACGCAACCAAAAGCTTTTGAAAGCAAGGCTCCTAGGAGACTACTCTTTGTCTGGTGGTTGGCAACAAGTTGCCGATGAAGGTAACATATATATTGTGATCAAAATTGCTTCTCACTGGAATAAACTTAACAAAAAAAAGGTTCGAAAGTTTCACGAACTTTTGGGACAACTCAATACATGCTTCTCTGAGGTGTAACAAGACAATCGTATATGCCGCGCCAGTGGCGAGCTTCGTCGCGCTCGCACGAGAAGTTTTCTTGTTTTTGTCTGATTTGTAAGATATTGGGCGTGAAGTCCGCCTTCGCTAGAATCCGCATGACATTCGCCGAGATATGTCGCACGACTACGCGGCAGATTACGATCGCCTTTTTCGTCTCTGCCACATCTCTACCTCTTTCGCGTCGGAACCATAGCAGAACTCGCAGCTACGCCTTGTCCTGCCTTCAGACATGCCTATATGAGGTGCTGGGGTGTTGTGCTGTTTTCAGGTCTATTATCATGAGAATTACATAAGCGATGAAAGAGAGGATATAGCAATACTTGAACTCGGTGAAAATATTCCCAAAGCTAAGGCGATACCCATTTGTTTGCCGAAGGAGAACGAAGAGATTTACCATAACCTCAAGGCAATAGGAGCAGGCGCAACCGGACGTAAGTTTCGAAGCATAAGCAGCATTCGTTTTTGTCTATTGCGTTTTTTTACATTATCTTTCCGAAATCACTGCGAGATATGAATCCTAAAACTTCCCAGACTCCCAGCGAATATTTCAGCCAACGGTACATTAAATCCACCTGATGGGCAGCAAATCGTTGACGTCACATTCTCACAATTAGAAAACAGCGTGATATTTGTAAAAACCGCTCCAAAAGTCGGAATATGTAACGTGAGCAATTGTTGTAAAAAAGAGTAGAATTTATTCATGCAGATTTGATAACTATTATATATTTCTTATTCTAATTAAGGGTGATAGTGGAGGTCCGCTTTTCCAAACTAACAGTGAAAACAGAAATGTGCAAATGGGAGTGATGTCTAGAGGCGATTCATGCGAGAAACGTGAGTTGGAACAACTTTCATTTCTGGAAACGTTTTACCCATTTTAACTGAGGAACGTTTGGAACTTCACAAATGATTTAAAGGCAGTTGGCACAATAAATCTCAAGACGAGTAGGATTGATACGCCTGGCAGGACGGAATTCCGCGACCCTGAGCAGGCGCTGCATAATGCCTTTTCCAAGGAAGGTGCCCTTATAAGGGCCCTATCAAGCTACAACATACCGACCCGAACGCCCGCCCGCCCACAAATGGACGACCGTACCTGATGCTCGTATTGCTTCATTTGCTAAGTAAAATATGAAGCGAAGGGATTGGTATGAAGCGGCTGCGGTGCTGCATGGATATATGAGTACATGCGTGCAGCCGTATCTACCGTAGCGGTATGGCAATATGCCCACTGGAAACTCGAAATCGCTATTTAGGAACGAAGGCCTTTCTTCGCAGTTTTTAGACCGTTTCACTTCGTTTTTTCGCCATTTTCCCACTATATAGCGCCCTGCTAGCATTTTAGGCCGAGTACCAAATTATCGTGCCGACTGCCTTCGAAAATGAACGAAATGGTTTTATGAAGGGGCCAATCCTTGTTCAATTGATATTCTGCAACTCGACGAAGCGATGTCAGGAAGCATGGAAAGATCTCCTCCCGTGACTGTGTTTTCCTTCACTAGCGGTAGGGAATCTTCCAGGTTAAAAGCGCCATTTCATGTCTCCTGCGGTTCCGTCGGATGGCGACGATACCAGCTGTACAGCCATTATCACCGAAGTCAGTCGGGGCGTGCCAGAGTGTTGGCGCGGAGCCAACCTGTTTCCATCAATCGTTACGGCTCGTGGCCTTCAACGACCGATGAAAAGGAAGCTGCCCCGCGCCGACACACTGCCGCTGACGCGCCCCGACCGACTTCAGTGATAACGACTACACATGCCTTCAACTGCATGCAAACATAGCACGATAAAAAGGAATGGAAATGAAATTGTGATACACCACGCATTTTCAGATTACAAAAAATCACGAAGCAGTCGCCACTACAAAGATGATGCGGTGGATGAATTCACAGACGTGCGTCAATATGTAGACTGGATATGTGAGAAAACAGGTAGGTCAATTCCATACACAAGCCAGTTGCGGCTGAGAAGCTCATTTTGAAGATTTTAGGTGTTTGCAATCAAAATCAAGGTCTTCATCAAGCAAACTACGATTGATGGTCTGTCGCTCGTGCAGTCTACCTGTATGGATTTTTCCTTAAAAAGTTGCTTCGCTGAAAATTGGGGTTTGCTAGGCAGGACCGAATCGAATAAACCTTCATCAAATACAAGACTTGAACAAGATTAATAAAGAAATTAGGGGGCACTCTCATGAAAGTGTCCACCTTGCTATCGCCGAGGACGAGATCTTCCTCATTATAAATTGACGTTGAACCTGAGTACACTCGAGATAAAATGCGCGGCGCCGCGCAGTGGATTCCGTGTTAAGCGAAATAGGTTGTAATGTGGTCAGGGCACGTCGTGACGCGGTGAAAATGGCCCGGCGCGACACCCAGCCCCAACCTAAGTAGTTATCTTGGTACTACCTCCTCTTCCAGTGGGATTGGCCTGATTTCTACGCCATGACATTGCGGTCAATTTTACAGGTGAAAACACAGTTCAGTCTTGAAGGGAGGGGGGCATTGACTCCTGGCATAGTCACTTGATCAACCTTGAGCTTTACAGCCGCTATCTTACCACTTTCTGATGTGAGACTCATACAGGGTTGTTCGATGAGTTCACACTATCTGACCAGGCGAAGAGTCTAGTTGTAAGTGGTTGTGCGCACTGCCTTTAAAGCAGCTCATTTGATGTTCCCTTTGCCCTCCTCAGATATTGTAGCTTTGTCGACAAGGGTGGTGGATGTACTAATTCCGCAGCTCAAAATACGAGAAGGATGGCGCCACTCGCTTGTGAAGAGGATGCCGCCCCGCCCACCTGGCTGCCATAACTGCTTTGGCTTAGCCTTTAAAGGCTGAGCCCGCTTTCAAGAATAATGAGTTATGGAGCTCATATAATACGTGATCCAGTAGTGAAGAAAAAAGCAGGAAAAAATCATGGAAAATGCCCTATATAGAACCCTATGCTGGCCAGGTGGGCGGCGGCCGACTCTTCACTAGCGAACGGCGCTATCCTCTCGCCTTTTTGAGATGCAAAACTAGTACATACTGCATCCTCATAGGGAGGGCTATGATATCCAGAGAGGGGAACATCAAATGAACGTGGGCGCTGCCTTTAAAGAAGCTCCCGTCTTTGCGATGAAAACTTTGTTGGCACTAATCCAAAAACTGTGGAGATGGCAGACGATCATCAGACATTACTCGCGCTCCTCGCTGAGATGAACCTTTTCTCGAGAAACGTACTTTCGCCAATAACGAGAAAATTTTCTGTGTGTAGGCAATACTCCACATTTTGTATTCTGCTGATTTTGATTACGAAACCGCTCATACCCTGGGCCAGGTTTTCTTCCGACTTTCACATGCGCAATCCATAGCGGGAATACGTGCGTACTTGGTTTGGATTCGCTCTGATCAAGGCGACTTGCATACAGTTCAGGCGACCTTCCAGTGGAGAAAACAAGAGTCTCCGAGTAGAGTCTTCTTTCGTTTTCATGTGGGAGGCGAGCAAAACGTAAGAGCGTGAACTTTTCCTCATAGGAAGTCCATGGAAAGGAAGCTGGATCAGGGCACACCACTGCTTGGGGATTTTGGTATTTTGGTGCTTGTCACCCCTCCTTTTTGGTGTGCTGGTACGACTCCCCCCCTGGTCCCCTCCTCACCGAGTTGTCGAAGGGATAGAAGCCCCCCCCCCTCCCCCTCCTCCCTACCATTTCTCCATTTCTTATATTTTCTCCCGACTTTCTCTTTCTCCGATATTCCCCGAAATGTCCTACTTTTACCGTAAATTTCAGGCAGCGAGTGTGCGTTGAAAGCCCATTCCAAGGACTTTTTCCCCTGCTCAGGCAGCGCTGCTTACCACTGCGTCGACCATGAGTTCTCGTTGCGTTGCGGAGTCGCGTGTAACTTTGTAAGTAAGCAATCCCGAATTAGTTCACATTCCCTGCACATCTATAGTTACCAGGTTAGGGCGCCCTAGTCGCAAATGTCACCTCTTGCGGCATTGGCGCACCGTGAATCCCCCAACCGTCAACTCCTTGTCCATCGGTCGCAAACATGCTCTCCCAGTAAGACGGATTTTTCGCACTAGATTCGCGCTTCACCCAACAGGCATCAAGAGCACTTTCAGGATCATGTGGGGGTGGGGGGGGAAGGGTGGAAACGGTCCGAGTTCTTTCGTACTTACATGGCTAGGATGGCGTAATCCGTGCGATCAGTGCCAACCAATCGCTGACGCCGACCCCTTGGATCGCTCGACCCAAGGATTGGAGCGGGCTCACAAGGATATCGGCTTGGTCTGCCCCATGACCCTTCCTGGTTTTTTTTTGCGAAAATGGGGTACTCTGTGATCCCGCGGTATTTCTCACAACGTATAACGTCTACACAACGGCTGATAGCTTGATAGCTCAAGGAGGTTTATCTTATCTGCCTGATAGGTTCATAAACACTGTGTGGTGTAGCATCATTCACAACTTTATGCTCTTCCAGTATGGACAAGAAATCAGCAGGTCTGTTTCGTTTTCACTTATATAGGTGTCGGTGTGAGAATCCTGCCGTTGTCCCACGCTCAGCACATGTCGTGCGTTGGAGCTCTTACAGTGATTAGGAAGGGGAGGCGTACGGGGTTGTAATTCAGAGAGAAAACTATGACCTAGAGACATGTGAGAGGCTGAGGTTTGAGACCTGGCAAAGGGCCACTTCTTGGTTTTCATTCTCAGTGAAAGTTCAGATCCTGTCTAGGACTACTGTCGCATAACACTGGCCATGAAGACCCAATATGAGGTAAAGTTCTGAATCCAAAAAACATTCTAAGCTCGTCATATGGACGGAAGCTACCTTTGCTTTTTTCAGTAGTGTACCCTGCCACATAAGAGAGAAGGGGAGGGTGAAGGAATGAAATAAGGTAGAAAAAGGTATAACGGTGAACCCGGCTCGGCTCGTACAACGAGAATGCCGTGTCCGTTCGAAGGCAGTGTTCGCGATCAGCCATTGTGCAGACAGCTTTCACTGCACAAGGTGGCAC